TTACTCCGACAATTAATAAAGTTATAATTTGTTTTAAAAAATCTTTGAATTAATATAGAATATTTAAAAAATACAGTATAAAGATATAATTTTGTACTAATTTTTTTAAATATCCAGAATAAATCTTTGAAAATAAATTATATTTTTATATCTGGTTTTTAAAACCCGTTAAAAATTTTATGTTTTATATTGCTATTTTGAAAAATTCTATATAATATTATAGATTTTATATTGTTTTAAAAAAATTATATAAAATTTAATATTAATTGTCGAAAAAAATAATTTAAAGATATTATGATAAAAATGCTACTAAGATGTCATGTACAATAGGATGTGTCCGAGTAAAATTCTATGGATTTGCCATACTTTTAGTTGTTATCGTATTTATCACTAAAATCTTTTTATTTACTTTTTAACATAATTTTTCAATAAAAATACAGTGCGAATGTGTGAATATATTGTAGCCTTTTAAATATTTCATATTAGTTTTAATAAAAATTTATAGTAATATATTTTGAAGATTTCTTAAAGTATCCAATGTGTTTTTAGACACCATGCAGATTTCTTATAATGTTCTAGTTTTTGGAAATATATCTCCAGATGCATCATATTTTAACTAAACGTTAAGATATTAAAAACATTATAAAATTTCAAGGAAATGCAAGAAAATGCAATGTTAAATGATGCATGTTGTGCAAAGGCAAATGAAATTTCAAAGAACTTAATTATATCACAAACATCATAAAAATGGATAAAACTTTTAAATAACTGAAAAATCTCATTTCATTAATAAACTTTGAAGGATTATCAATAGAGTACAACTTCAAAAGTCCTAACAAAGCGGAAAAGTACAAGAAAAGGAAACTAGAAGCCCTAAGAAACCCCATGAGAAGATCCTCCTTGCAACTTCCTATTGAGTCTCTTGATTTCCTCCTTCATTTGAGCCTTTTCAAGTACGAGCTTGTCGACAACCAACTTTCAAACAATTGGAGACGGGAGAGTGTTTGAACTTTGTTGAGCAATAGGAGCTGATTGAGTGTCAGGGGAAAATAAATCCTCTTACACCTTCATTTTCTTGATAACAAGATCCTCTTCACCCTTTTGTTTCAAAAGCTTCTAAAGTTCTGCATTCTCATGGCTGACAACCTAATACTTATTCTTCCATGTGTTCCTTTCTCGCTGCGCTTTTGTAAAAGCAATCTGAAGCTTCTTTGCATCACTCATGAAGATCAAGGTAGGCTCTCTAGTAGCTATAGGTAGAGGTTCCTAACGAGGATAAGGCATCTTTAGCTTGATGGCCATATCTTGCACCCATTGGAGATAAGACTCTAAAGAGACACAATTTGACTTCCCTAACACTGCTCTTCCTTTTGTAAGAACATGACGCCAAACATGCACAATCTTCTCTTTAAGCACTCTATTGTCTTCACCTTCCTTGAAGAAGAGGCCCTCCAAATGGATGTTGTTTGGTTTGTCCTTCATGGGATAACCAAGCTGACGACGAGCTACAACAAGATTGTAGCTAATGCCTCCTTTTGTACCAAGAAAAGGTACATTAGAAAACTCACCACAACTATCAATAATCGTGGCTTTATCATAAACATGATTATACCGCTCAGTATCAGAATGAGTGAAAGACATAATCTTTTGTGATGACAACAAACCATCTTTAAGATCCCAAAAGGAAGCAGATTGAGGCAAATGAGAAATAAACCACTTGTATAGAGATGACACACAGGAGGTAATCATCCATCCACCATAAGATTTTCAATCAATAAGATTTTGAAAGCATTAATGTCAACAAAGTTGTCAACATTAGGGAAGAGAAACAACCCACAGATGAGTAAGGCAAGAAGAGCCTCAAAGGTATCCATACTCTTCATGTCAGTAAAATACTGGCTTTATCCATCAAAAAACTCAGCGGGCAACCCAAGAATTCCTCCCTTAGTAGTCATGCGAGCTTTGATCTCTGACATTCTCAGGTGAGTGGCTTCTGTAATATCTTGAGGCTTAGAGTTCTTCTTCAAACCAGAAAAAAGATCTTGATTAGAGATAGGTAATCCAAGCAAGCAAGAATACTCCTCTAATGTAGGCATGAGCTGATAATTTGGAAATGTGAAGCAATGGTATACTGGACCATAAACTGCACCAAAGTAGCAAGAACTCCATCCACCATGTTGAGCTTTAAAAGAGACAGAAGCCTTCTATACTTGTCTTTGTAAGCCAATGGATCAACAACCAATCCTCCTAACTTCCTCAGATCTTCCAGTCTAGGACTCTCGAAAGTGTACTTTTGTGTTCTTCTTCTTCCAAAATCCATGGTAGAACCTATGACGTTTGCAAAAGATAACCCTAAGTACCTTGAAAAAAGTTAGAAAAAAAGTTGCTTGTGAATGCATGGATGAATGAATGCAAAAACACACATAAGAATGCAAACACACAAGGGGTTCAAGGGTTCGACGTCACGAGCATGGAGTCATGGGTCTAACCATCCCAAGAAGGTATGTACTAGAGTTTTATGCTCCTGTAAGACAAGGTTTTAACAAGTTCCCAGAGTAATTGATCCATCTTTCGGATATTATTTTATTATATATATATTTTTCAATTCCACGTAGATTTTAATTTAGTTTTTTAGTTTTATTTATTTTATTTGATTAACTCTTCGTCTTCTTCCATAATTTTTCTTGTGTAAAATCAATATCCTCCATAAAACTTTTATTGTGAACCAAACAATTCATAATTTGCAAGAAATTAAAAGATTCATATGATTTTAAATTCTATACTACATAACATTGAAGTTGTTGTTAGTTCTGTAAGAGGAATCTCATAAAACCAAAACAAACAAAAATGTCAAGTTAAGGCAAGGGCAGAGATCAAATTTGGATTTTGCTCACACATGTTCATCACTTTCACAATGTTTATCATATTTAACAATATTCATGAGCAAATATCTGGAAATCACAAAAACAATGAAATAAATTACAAATTATATACTGTTGGACTTGGATTTTCACCCTTAGTCCAAATATACAATCAAATTTATGAAACAAGTTATGGTTCATGAGTATCAGAGAAAAAAGTGGACGAAATGCATAATGAAAAATCAAATAAGCAAGTGAGAATCTAAAAATATATTGAATTTTAGAGTTTTGGAATTCATATAAGTATAAAGAGTTTTGCCATTTTTGTGTTTATGAGCTCATGAGTGTTCTTGAAATATAGAGTTTTAGAGTTTTGGAATTCAGAAATATAAGAAACAACAAGACAAAAGTCAAATAAGCAACCTTCAATGCCAAATCAAATAAGCATAATGAAAAAAGTGGACGAAATGCATAAAGAGTTTTGTCATTTTTGTGTTTATGAGCTCATGAGTGTTCTTGAAATATATTGAGTTTTAGAGTTTTGGAATTCAGAAATATAAGAAACAACAAGACAAAAGTCAAATAAGCAACCTTCAATGCCAACTCATCTCAGGTAAATGTCACATGTGCTCCATTTGTGCCACATATGCATTTTTGTAACGAAATTTTTTAAAAAGGGCAACGACGCAAACGTTTGTTAAGATAAATGACCAAAGCGTTACAAAAAAAAACTTAAAGGACTAACTTGTTATTTTAAAATAACTTAAAAGGATCTAGATAGTATTTTTGCCTTATACATAACACCCCTCAATCTTTCATTTCCTAAAACTACCATTGAAAAAATTGAAACAAATGAAAGACAATTTATATTATTTGAAAATTTTAAAATTTCCCGTAAAAAATGAAATTTTCGAAAAAAAACTATGAAGAATATCAAATTTTTCAAAAAAATTTCAAAAATTTTAAAATATTTTTTTTTACTATAGAAAATTTTAAAATTAGAAATTCCAAAATTTTCATATTTTTTTTAAAAATTTCGAAATTTTTGATATTCTTCATATTTTATTTTTGAAAATTTTTATTTTTTATCAAAAATTTCATAAATACTGAAAAAATTCCAAAATTTCTGATATAAACATATAAATTTTAAAAAAATCTAATTTTTACATAAGAGACAATAATAAAAGCGGTCTAAATTGAGGATGAGAGGTTAAATTATCCTGATTTTCATTGGTTTTAGTAAAAGTACCTATCCAATAACCGGTTCGAACCAATTAACCTTCCATTTACAGTTATCCCGTTCAACCACTGATCCGACCCGGTTTTAAATAGCGGATACAGATTAGTCTTTGGGTCCAATATACCGCTTTTCTTCATCAAGGGTAGTTTTGTCAAAAAATTAGAGGTAAATTAATCGGACGGTCAGGATAGATAGATACATATAACTGATCTTTATAAACCAAACAATTGAACTCACTCCGCCTCTAGGGTTTCTGCTTCGTAACACTCAGTGACAGAGGGCTGTGATTTTGCTGCGGAGCTTCGACCTTCTTCAGTTGAGGTGCGATTCCATCACCCCTTTTCGATTTCTCATCCCAAATCAATGTTCATTGAAATCAAAGTTCCATTTTTTAGTTTCTCTAATACTTCAATTTTTTACAAATGATTTGATTATAGTTCGATCGATTATTTTGTTTTCGTTTTGACTGTTGTTGAGGTTTTAGGGATCTAGCTTTTGAAGAAAAAATGTTTTTTTTTTGTTGTCGTTGTTATTGTTGCATTTTATCAGTTTTTTACAGTGATGATTATACGTAATTATTTAGTGTCATTGATATATGAGAATCATAGGGTTAATTGTTATGTGGCGGTGTTCTGTTTTCAAACTGATCTGGTATTTGTAAGTAATTCTGTGTATTTGTTGGAACATTAGGTTTGTGGTGTCTGTTGTTATGTTGGTGAATATGATACGTGATGCTATGTGATGAACATGTTACTTTATTGTTTTAATATCAATGTGGTATTTGTGGTTAAGCTTTGGGTGTTGTTGATATTTGCATATTGAGAATTTATTATTTGAAAGTTTGTTAAACATATACTATATATATAGCCTTGCTAAATTTTCTCTCCACAGTTGTGAAGATGTTTACATCAAGGAAGAAAATCAGCAAGGATAAGGGTGCTGAGCCTACTGAGTTTGAGGAATCAGTTGGACAGGTTATATATTATATTGTGAACTATAACTATTGCTGTTTCTGTGGTTGTTGATTAGTTTCAATTACTGAATATAAAGTATTTATTGTTTGAAATATATTGATGTAGGCATTGTTTGATCTTGAGAACACCAACCATGAGTTGAAGAGCGAGTTGAAAGATTTATACATAAACTCAGCTGTGTAAGTATATTTTTTGTGTTGTTTGTTTGCATGTACATGTGCTTTCTCTTTGTCTCATAGATGTTATTTTCCATAATCTACAGTCAAGTTGATGTTTCTGGCAACCGCAAGGCTGTTGTTATCCATGTCCCATACAGATTGAGGAAGGGTTTCCGCAAAATTCATGTCAGGCTTGTTAGGGAGCTTGAGAAGAAATTTAGTGGCAAGGTCAGTCGAAGTTTTGTATACCCTTGTTTTTTATTGATTCATTTGATTGCCCTTTTTTCTTTCTAACTTCAACATCTGTAATCTTTATTTTCTCTGCTTATTTGTTATTTTCTTGTTTCAATTTTTATGTCAATCACTCTATTCTATTTTGATCCTTACTCAGAAGAATTTCTACTTGTTTTTCAAATTTTGCATACCTCATTGGTATCTAAGTTTGCATTGATCTTTACATGGAACAGTTGGTCATCTATAAACCTGAAATTAATCAAGCTGTGCAATGTTTTCAATATGATGATAGCATAACTTTATCCTTGAATCTTGTGTATTCATGATTGTTTGTGTAATGCTTCATTCTATTGTATACTAATTAAACTTATGACTTGTAGGACGTAGTCCTGATTGCCACCAGAAGAATTGTGAGGCCCCCAAAGAAGGGTTCAGCTGCTCAGCGCCCCCGCAGCCGAACACTCACTGCCGTGCATGAGGCAATGCTGGAGGATGTTGTATTGCCTGCTGAGATTGTTGGGAAACGCATTAGGTACCGAGTTGATGGATCAAAGATCATGAAGGTAAAACTATAGTAACCGGCAAATGTCTTCCCAAAATTTATCGTGTTCAATCAACAAAAGATATTAATTAACTATTTATTTAAGCTAACGTGAGTTAGTATGCTATAAAAACACATGATATTGAGTTTGTGTTGACTGAATCTTTGTGCTTCTCTTATGTAGGTGTTTTTGGACCCCAAGGAAAGAAACAACACTGAGTACAAGCTGGAGACATTTTCTGCAGTTTATAGGAAACTGTCCGGCAAAGATGTTGTGTTTGAGTATCCCATTACCGAGGCTTAGGTTCTTAGGTTCTGTTTCTCAGTTTTGAATTTGTTTCATGCAATGCATATGATGAATGCTGCCAGTTAAATTTTGTTCGAGTTGCCTTTAATTCTGGATTTTGTTTGGTGACTTTAAAAAAAAGTACTATTTGGCCTAGTTAAGCAATGTAGCTTTTGATATATTTATCTGATTAAAATTACTTGCTTTTTTTCTAAATTTTATTTAGTGACTGTCTTGATCTCTAATGGAAGCAAAATGCAATATGACAAAATTTTATGTGACTAAATATATTTTTGAACAACTAACACCTACCGCAGATGTATTTAGTTTCATGTGGAATTATCTCATGTTTAATTTTAGTAAAAATTATAATGTCTTTTCACTGTATTAAAATATTGTAGTCGCGATTTTATCTATATCACTGATCAATGCACGTATCATCTATGAAAGAAAAATCACATTTATACGCCAGTTGAATTCCAATATTTAATGTTCAATGGTTGTTTCAGTTTGTTAAACCGCTTTTTTTTTCTTTCATTAGTAGGTTAAATTAAAGTGAGATTGACATGTAAAGAATAGTCATTTAGTCATTACAAAGCAACTCTTTCTTGAATGAGTCCAAGAGCTTTAAGCTGCAAGTTAAGCAATTAGTTTCATAACTTATTCAAATAACCAAAATAGTTTCATAACTTATTCAAATAACCAAAATTTATGAAGTACTTAGTAGCCACTAAAGTACCAAAGACCAAGGTGATTTTCTACCCAAAAATACTAATTTCTAATGTTAGAATTTCTGTATTGAAAATCTAAAAATACTTCTACAAAACGCCTCACAAACCTTGAGACTTCTTCTAGTCCTATTAAGTTGTTGAGACAAATCTTCCATGAAGATGTTTCAGCTTGACATGAATGTTGATATTAAAAGAAAAGAATTGTCTATCCACAAACTAGTATATATGTACTAGGAGAAATATAATATTACAAAAGAATACCCTTTAAATAAATATAGAAACCTGATTACACTTTATCAATGTAGTTTATCTATCTTCCTTCATCAAAAGAAGAAGTAGAGATAGAATTTCTAGAATAATCCTCTAGAAAACTACTACCACCTGAGACCCTTGTTGCACTACTGGCATTAGTATTGGTTAAAGCAGAAGTGTTGGTTGTAGACCACTTCCCTACACGACCCTGAAGTCCTGGTTTACTTGGTCTTGGCAAAGTGAATGAATCGCTTGATAGCATTAGATGAACTGAATTCATATCAGGTCTCTCCACTACACTTGCTTGACAGCACAATAAACCTAGCTGAATGCACATTGCAGCCTCGTCACCGTTGTATTTACCAATGCTCTGGTCTATTAAATCCATAGTTTTCCCTCCTTGATAAAGCTTCCATGCCTACAAATAAGTTTAGAAAAAAAACAACATTGTAAAACTATGAAATAAATAGTTTCATGTAAGCTAAGATAGCATCACTCAAAAAACTATCCACGCACCAAAAACAATAATGTTGAGCGTGAAGAGCGTGAAGATATATATGGAGAAAAAACTAAGTATCACATATTTCAGCAGTTGATCATTGCTTTACTACAAGAATCTTAGCTCATGACAATAATAAGTGCATACTAAATTTTCTCTAATGCCTCCTTTGGAATCAACTTACATAGCTTAGGAGATCTGCTTTTTCTGAACCAAGTTTCACATCATGGTTTTTTCTCCCACTAACTATTTCCAACACCAAGACTCCATAACTGAAAACATCAGTCTTTACAGACAGATATCCGCGCATTGCATATTCAGGAGCCATGTAACCACTGAGATTCATCAAACATAAAAATCATAAGGATTTCTACATCACAATAACAAAAAACAGCAAGTGACAAAACAAAACTACTCACTGTGTACCGGAAATCCTAAATGTTTGCACATGAGTGTCCTCTCCAGGAAACAGTCTTGCCAAACCGAAGTCTGAGATTTTCGGATTTAATTTCTCATCCAGCAATATGTTACTAGCTTTAATGTCTCTGTGAATAATTCTTTCTGGAGCCTCTTCATGCAGATAGAGAAGTCCTCTTGTGATACCGGTAACTATTCGAAACCGTGTTGTCCAATCCAAAGACCTCTTTTTATCTAAAAAAACATTATATATAACTGTTGTCAATTATTGTTCAGAAGCAATCACCAAACATAGGAAAAAAAGAATTGTGGACATGCTCCTAAGTGTCTACAAGAAATTGTTTTCAATACCGAACAGAAAGTGATCAAGGCTTTTGTTAGGTAGATACTCATAGACAAGCATTTTTTCGGGTCCTTCTGCACAACAACCTAGTAAAGTGACTAAATTCTTGTGCTGAATTCTTAGTAATAGCTGAACTTCATTGGTAAATTCTCTAATTCCTTGTCTAGATTCCAATGAAAGCTTTTTAATTGCCACTTCTTCACCATTTGGCATCAATCCCTGCAGAAAAACATGCATAATTTAGTGAAGTTTGTGTTCTGAAAAAAAGATAATTTGTGACTTGCAAGCTCCTAATATCTTAATTTTCTCCTCCTATCCTTTATTTTGTTTTCAAATGTGCTACAGAGAGTTTAAGAAGATCAACTGCATAGCAGCAAGCCATGTATAACATGATTTTGTTGCAATCTTCAACCATGGTTGCAGATTTGCAGTCTGAGACAAGTAAATATTGTCTCTACAATCAACTCAGTTGCATTTGTCCAAAAGTTTCTGAAATACAAATAATTGCAACCTTGACTGCAATTACAATATTGGAGTTAAAGCCTAAATTACAAATTTGGATTTTCAGTAGTCATGTCAACGTGGATTCGCGCAATCAACTACTTTGGACCCTCAGTTTTATTCGAAACCTCACATCATCTCTTCCTGAGTTCTCAAATGGATGAATCCAACAGATAAAATATATTAAATTTCTTAGAGTTCTGGATTTTGTCTAACTCAACATCACAAAACCGGCTTCTTAGATGATAGACGCCTCCCACTTGTAAATATTTTTATATCATATCTCATCTATTGTTAAACTCTCAACAAACATCAGGAATGTGTGCCGCCTTGAATGCTCGGAATCCAAATCCCTCAATTACCACAAACAACCTTCTAAGGGTCTGTTTGCAAGTTGGTTTTTGGAGGGTTTTGCAGGAGAGATTTTGCTTCAAAAAGCTCGGTCTTGACCACACATAGCGACCAAAACAATCTTTCTCTTATAGTAGCACTCTCAGGCATCCTTGACATTACGATCTTACAATCCAGGACTCCATGTTGACTACACAGCTTAGGCATTGATTACGGATTTCGAACTCCTCGTTGAACGCAGTTACAAACCTGATCTGAATTGTCCGATCTCAAATTACAATTTGGGTCCATTAATTACATATGCATAAAAACAATGATACATTTGACACTTCCCTTAACTCAATATCTCATTCATCCAAAAGTAATACAAAACTTCAATCACAATTAAACTATTCATAATCATTATTACTATTGACATTAACAATTAAACTATCTTCCACTGCAGAAGATAATTTTAAAAAAAAGTAACCTTGAAAACAGGACCAAAGCCTCCACGACCAAGTTGATTAAGCTCAGAGAAGAAATTGGTGGCGAGTTGAAGAGTGTGAAGGTCGAACAACAGGTTGGAAGAATCACAGGCGTCGATGGTATCTTTATCGTCATCGCCGCCGTGTTGGGAGGGTGTGCCGCCCTTCTTCAGGCGCCTCTGCATGCAGGCACAGAGCCTGGAGAAGAAGGACATAAAGTCAACGGGAATTTGGAGAAGGAAACAGAAAGTAACGTAAAGAGTAGAATCATGACTCAACTTATCATACTTTCTTTATCTTCAACTACGACTTTCTCAAGGTTCTTGTTGGTTTATTATTTATGTATTATTTTTTTAATATTTAATCAGTATAAATTGCAGTCCTATTTTACTCTATTGTTAATAATAGTATTATAACTTTCTTTTATCATCAAATATTTTTGGAAAAACTATATGCATAATTATCATTTTATACCAACTTGTAGGGTATAGTAATAAATACCATGTGAGCACTTTGTTATGACACGTGAATATTGAATATGCAGTGACTTTATAATTTTTTCAATCCCTCGTTAATTAGAGTTAGGTATCAGTCGAGTCGAGTCGAATTCGTTTTGGTTCGGTTTGACTCGTTAAAAATATGTTTTGTTTAAATTTTAGTTCGAGTTTGACACAATTTTTTTTTAAAATTTAAATTCGACTCGTTAAAAATTTACGAACTATTCTGTTTGTCTCGTTAGATTCACCTCACTTGTTTCACGGATTTAAAAACTATTTTTTAAGTCTATTTTATTTTTATATATTTAACATTTTAAGTTAATATATATTTTTAAAAAACAATATTAAAATAAAATAAAATTTATGACTATGAAATTTAACTTTGTTTTAAAATTTTACTAATTCAAAAACTAAACAACTTTTGACAGACATATTTGAAAGTCTAATTCAAAAAACATCCAATTTAAATTTAAATTTATCTAACAAATCGGTAACTTCATCAAATATTTAAGAAACATACAAATTTAATGAAGTAGTAAACAAAAAATTACTGGAAATTGATACATTTTCATCATAGAATGATTACACCACTTGCAACCTTTATTACACATGTTATTTTAGCAAATGTCATAATTTCCATAAATAATACATAAGGGACAATATAAAGTTAAATTTTGAGGTAAATGTTTAAACCTACTCTTAAAAATAATATAATCATTCTCATATATAATCGAGTTGACTCATGAATCTAACGAATCGAGCTGTGTATAGTTCAAATTCAGCTCATTTAGTTAACAAACATAGTTTTTCGCTCATGTTCAGCTCATTTGGTTTATGAACCTAGTTCAACGATTTAATTCTCGAACCGAGTTTCAAACTATTTTCGAGTTGGTTCGATTCATTGTCAGCCCTACGATCAACCATAAACTTAGGTGCAAATTTTGTTGGTTAAATTGAATATTTATTTAAGTTCTAATAGAATTTGAGTATTAATATAAATAAAAATATTTACTTTTATTTTTTCACACAACAACAAAACATAATTTTTGTGTTTGTTGAGAATTTAGGTAATTATGTGTATAGAGTAGAAAGGGTTTTTTATTTTTCCATTCAAAAATAGTTTGTTGAGAGATTTTTAATTTTTCCGTCTTTTAAATTTGTAGTTAAGAGAAGATTCACAATTTTTCTATTCATAAGTTATAATTGAGACATAGTTTGTAATTTTTCCGTTTAAAATTTATAAGTGAAATAGAGTTCGCAATTTTTCTGTTCAAAAATTATAATTGAGATAGAGTTTTCAATTTTCTCCTTAAAATTGCAATTTAATGAAAGAGTTTGTAATTTTGTTTTTGCAAATATTAGAAGTTGAATAATATAATTTGGAGTTTTGTTTTTGAATTCTTTTGCTCTTTTTCTTTTTGAATGTACGCTTCCGCGTGCGTAATTTTTTGTTGTTATTTTTCCAATAAATCTCTCGTCTAGTGGATTTATAATTTCTTTTATTTAAAAATCATTTGTGATTAGATAAAAGTGGTGAATTTGATAGATGTTGGATTTTTGAAATTGTTTATTAATGGTCTTTTGAATTTGTTTCCCCCCTAGTTGGTCTCGCCTTAAAAAATATTAAGAAAACACATGTTTCAAGGCCGATGCACTAAATAGATGTGATGCATAATTATTTGGCGTGATTCAAGATTACGCACTATTTCTAGATAAAATGGATCAGTCTTATCGTATAGTCGTGCTTGCCTTAATTGTTAGTATGCAGGACGTGACATATTTTATGTGTACTAAGTTGTCGTGTTGTGTGATTGTATTGTTTTTTCCATGTGGTGATATTATCATTTTCTTTCTTTTATAGCCAAAATGTCAGATGAGAACATAATGAAAAAGATACGGAGCATAAAAGTATGATATTCTCTTTATGGTTCTTTGTGAATTGCTTCTGTCAATCCGTCGATCGTGGTTGCTTGCTATTTAAGATAATAAAGAGACGGTTGACTAACATAGTTTATCGGGTTCCAAGAAATAGAAAAGGGCGTACTGTTATGCAATAAGGATCAACCATAATGGTAGTTTCTTAAGAACTAAATGTCATCTTTAATCACAATCTCATTTCCTTCAATTTCTCGAGATACAACTCTAATTCCTTCAACTCCCAAGAGTTATGGTCCTTAGGGCCAATAGAATGACTTATCTAGGTGTTTAAAGGTATTTTTAGTAAACAACCACGAATTTGGTTCACTTAAGAGATTAAACTCAAAAAAATTTTAAAGACAATCTGTGCAAAAAATGCAAAGCAAGGTGTTTGTGGTCGATGTTTAAATGCTTGGAAATTGACAAACCGAATGTAAATGCATAATTGATTTGAAGAAATAAAGTAAATAAAAAAACATAATAAATGACATAAAATAAACGTTGATTTGAAGAACTTAAAGAAGATTAAAATAAGGACACACATTTCTCACAAATTGTTTCTCTCCGTGACTTGGATACTTTAGTTCTATAGAGAAAGAGTGAAAATTTGTGACCTCGATCTCAAACACTGAGATTGACTTATATACTAATAAAATAGCAACCATCAACAACAAATAGATCCTAATGATCTAACACGTATCCCATTTTGCATGCTTTATCGCTTCATCTTGCTTCCACGCGTCTTCAAGGATAAAATTGCTGAAAACTAACCATCATGCTAATAAATGCGTTGGCAACTGCTTTAAACCTCTTAATTGCCTATGCTGAGAGTCATTGGTTGACTAATAGTGTTGTTGATACATCTCATATATTTTAAAGTCTTTAAACTTGATAATATCCTAAGTCTAACATCTGGTGGATATGTCAATCTCAACCTTGTCGAAGAACTAGCTTGCATAAATTTCTTCAACATTTTGGACATGTTTCGAAGAGAGGGTGATCATTATCTTGTGAATTTTTTCCCAAGACTCTTCCAAACTAATCTTTGCCTCGATTTAACTGATAGGTTAGTCGAACCATCTTAGTTGACATAGTTAATACGAAGCTTTTGAATGAAACTCTTAACACTTGACATTTGACATTTTCCAATGTAATTATCACTATTCTTCATTGGCTTTTTTCAGCTAAAATTTTTAGACTAACACTAAGGCCTCTAAGATGATAGACAATTCTAGTGAAATGTGTTCCATATATGGATTGCCTAATGACCTTTACTTGTATTCACTGTGGATCGTCAACCAACGAGAAACAAGTTAAATAAGAGTTTAACAAATAAAATCTAAAAGTTAGTTAATTGTTTTTTTTAAACTTGATATCCAACCTTAAAATTAATTAATTAAAGAGGGTCAATTCTACCATTCACTAACTGTGAGCCTAAAATTAAAGTTAGTTGGTTAGTATTAGCTTATATACTAGTTTAGTGTACTTAGCCTATATATTACTTGTTCAGTTAAGATCCAATGGCTGTTAATTAATCTTGACTTGTATATATATATCATTCACCTCATGTACACAAGAACTAATGAATGTTTTTGATGTTCTATGAGGCATTGCAGAGTAGGTATGCTGGTGGTCTTTTTGTGAAGCGTGTCTTCATTCTTTTGGTCGGTCGGCTCTGATATGTAGCACCGAGTAGCTAGGATGTACATGATTCTTTTGTGATACATTTGTATATGTATCTTGTTGATGAATGTTTATGTAAACATGACTTATGTTGTTGAATCATACTGGATCATATATATATGTTTGACGTTATCAATGTTTAGATTTTCCGCTTTTATTCTAAATTTTGAGATGTGGGTGTAAGGACTAAGTTCCTCTGTTGCAAAGTTACCCCGCTGTTGCATATCTTTTGTTGAGCAGGTGTTATATGTTTTAATTTCAAGCGTAATGTGACGCGCCTCTTTTATACTATGTTTATAATTATACTCTGACGAAATTTTTAATATGTGACTAAATGATTATGTGATTATTTGGGGGTATAGAAAAGGGGGTGTTACATGCAACATGCCATTCTTCTTATCAATAGGCTGCCCACTCCTCTCTTAAAATCAAAATCACCTTATGAGCTCTTGTACAAACAACCTCCCTCCCTTATTCACTTAAAAGTATTTGGTTGTTTATGTTTTGCCTCCACTTTACAAGCACATAGGACAAAATTTGATCCTAGAGCTCACAAGGCTATTTTTCTTGGCTTTAGAGATGGTACCAAATGGTACATTGTTTATAATCTCCAAAGTCATGCTATATCTGTTTCAAGGAATGTCATTTTTTATGAACATATATTTCCTCTTAAATTGCCTTATGTACCATCTACTCCTTCCTCTCATAATTCTCCATTATCCATAGACTTTCTTGACATGCCCTCACCATCTACTTTTACTGAACACACCAGTACCACTGACTTGTATCCTCCTTCTTCTATAGACACATCACCTAACAACAACCCTACACATCTATCACCCCTTTATACATCTCTTACATCTTTATCCTTCAGTCCATCTGCTGAGTCAGTTACTCCTAACTCATCTCCCAATGGTCCTTTTAATGACAGTTCTGCTCCCATGTCTCCTAATCCCCATCAGGCCCCTACTGCCCTTGTTGACCCTTCCTCTCAGCCAATAGCTACCTCTGTATTGCCTTTAAGACAGTTCACTAGATCTTCAAACCCACCAAGTTACCTAGCGGATTACCACTGTTATTCTGCTCATACTCTTAATTCTATTCATTCTCCCAATGTT